ATCTTTCATTTGAGAAGCTTATCCATCTTTATTTTGTATAAGTGGCATCTCTCTTTCGAGAAGCTTATCCACCTTTATTTTCAATAAGTGGCATATCTCTTTCGAGAAGCTTATCAATATTTATTTTTAATAAGTGGCATCTCTCTTTCGAGAAGCTTATCCCCCTTTATTTTTGATAAGTGGCATCTCTCTTTTGAGAAGCTTATCCACCTTTATTTTCGATAAGTGGCATCTCTCTTTCGAGAAGCTTATCCACCTTTATTTTCGATAAGTGGCATCACTCATTCGAGAAGCTTATCCACCTTTATTTTCGATAACTGGCATCTCTCTTTCGAGAAGCTTATCCATCTTTATTTTCGATAAGTGGCATCTCTCTTTCGAGAAGCTTATCCACCTTTATTTTTTATAAGCGGCATCTCTCTTTCGAGAAGCTTATCTACCTTTATTTTCGATAAGTGTCATCTCTCTTTCGAGAAGCTTATCCACCTTTATTTCGATAAGTGGCATCTCTCTTTCGAGAAGCTTATACACTTTTATTTTCGATAACTGGCATCTCTTTTTCGAGAAGCTTGTCCACCTTTATTATCGATAACTGGCATCTCTTTTTCGAGAAGCTTGTCCACCATTATTTTCGATAAGTGGCATCTCTCTTTCGAGAAGCTTATCCACCTTTATTTTCGATAAGTTGCATCTCTCTTTCGAGAAGCTTATCCACCTTTATTTTCGATAAGTGGCATCTCTCTTTCGAGAAGCTTATCCACCTTTATTTTTGATAAGTGGCATCTCTCTTTCAAGAAGCTTATCCACCTTTATTTTCGATAAGTGGCATCTCTCATTCGAGCAGCTTATCCATCTTTATTTTCGATAAGTGGCATCTCTCTTTCGAGAAGCTTATCCACCTTTATTTTTGATAAGCGACATCTCTCTTTCGAGAAGCTTATCTACCTTTATTTTCGATAAGTGTCATCTCTCTTTCGAGAAGCTTATCCACCTTTATTTTCGATAACTGGCATCTCTTTTTCGAGAAGCTTATACACCTTTATTTTCAATAAGTGGCATCTCTCTTTCGAGAAGCTTATCCACCTTTATTTTTGATAAGTGGCATCTCTCTTTTGAGAAGCTTATCCACCTTTATTTTCGATAAGTGGCATCTCTCTTTCGAGAAGCTTATCCACCTTTATTTTCGATAAGTGGCATCTCTCATTCGAGAAGCTTATCCACCTTTATTTTTCGATAACTGGCATCTCTCTTTCGAGAAGCTTATCCATCTTTATTTTCGATAAGTGGCATCTCTCTTTCGAGAAGCTTATCCACCTTTATTTTTGATAAGTGGCATTTCTCTTTCAAGAAGCTTATCCACCTTTATTTTTGATAAGCGGCATCTCTCTTTCGTTAAGCTTATCCACCTTTATTTTCGATAAATGTCATCTCTCTTTCGAGAAACTTATCCACTTTTATTTTCGATAAGTGGCATCTCTCTTTTGAGAAGCTTATACACCTTTATTTTCGATAAGTGGCATCTCTTTTTCGAGAAGCTTGTCCACCTTTATTTTCGATAACTGACATCTCTTTTTCGAGAAGCTTGTCCACCATTATTTTCGATAAGTGGCATCTCTCTTTCGAGAAGCTTATCCACCTTTATTTTTGATAAGTTGCATCTCTCATTCCAGAAGCTTATTAACTTTTATTTTCAATAAGTGGCATCTCTCTTTCGAGAAGCTTATCCATCTTTATTTTCGATAAGTGGCATCTCTCTTTCGAGAATCTTATCCACCTTTATTTTTGATAAGTAGCATCTCTCTTTTGAGAAGCTTATCCACCTTTATTTTCGATAAGTGGCATCTCTCTTTCGAGAAGCTTATCCACCTTTATTTTCGATAAGTGGCATCTCTCTTTCGAGAAGCTTATCCACCTTTATTTTTGATAAGTGGCATCTCTCTTTCAAGAAGCTTATCCACCTTTATTTTCGATAAGTGGCATCTCTCTTTCGAGAAGCTTATCCACCTTTATTTTCGATAAGTGGCATCTCTCATTCGAGCAGCTTATCCACCTTTATTTTCGATAACTGGCATCACTCTTTCGAGAAGCTTATCCATCTTTATTTTTGATAAGTGGCATCTCTCTTTCGAGAAGCTTATCCACCTTTATTTTTGATAAGCGACATCTCTCTTTCGAGAAGCTTATCCACCTTTATTTTCGATAAGTGGCATCTCTCATTCGAGAAGCTTATCCACCTTTATTTTCGATAACTGGCATCTCTCTTTCGAGAAGCTTATCCATCTTTATTTTCGATAAGTGGCATCTCTCTTTCAAGAAGCTTATCCACCTTTATTTTTGATAAGCGGCATCTCTCTTTCGAGAAGCTTATCCACCTTTATTTTCGATAAGTGTCATCTCTCTTTCGAGAAGCTTATCCACCTTTATTTTCGATAAGTGGCATCTCTCTTTCGAGAAGCTTATACACCTTTATTTTCGATAAGTGGCATCTTTTTTTCGAGATGCTTGTCCACCTTTATTTTCGTTAACTGGCATCTGTTTTTCGAGAAGCTTGTCCACCATTATTTTCGATAAGTGGCATCTCTCTTTCGAGAAGCTTATCCACCTTTATTTTTGATAAGTTGCATCTCTCTTTCAAGAAGCTTATCCACCTTTATTTTCGATAAGTGGCATCTCTATTTCGAGAAGCTTATCCACCTTTATTTTCGATAAGTGGCATCTCTCTTTCGAGAAGCTTATCCACCTTTATTTTTGATAAGTGGCATCTCTCTTTCAAGAAGCTTATCCACCTTTATTTTCGATAAGTGGAATCTCTCTTTCGAGAAGCTTATCCACCTTTATTTTCGATAAGTGGCATCTCTCATTCGAGCAGCTTATCCACCTTTATTTTCGATAACTGGCATCTCTCTTTCGAGAAGCTTATCCATCTATATTTTTGATAAGTGGCATCTCTCTTTCGAGAAGCTTATCCACCTTTATTTTTGATAAGCGGCATCTCTCTTTCAAGAAGCTTATCCACCTTTATTTTCGATAAGCGGCATCTCTCTTTCGAGAAGCTTATCCACCTTTATTTTCGATAACTGGCATCTCTCTTTCGAGAAGCTTATCCACTTTATTTT